AACTGATTGCAAGTGTCGGCCAACGAGTGTATGGCTTCGGCGAACAGGGAATGGGAGCCCGTGTAGAGCCAGGCGAGCGTTTTGAATAGAAAATTGGCTCCATTTCTGTCCATTTTGTTTGAAATTAAATTAAAATTCATGTAAAAAAGGGTGCTTTAGATCTATACTTACATACAGACAGCTGTCATCACAACTCTTCCCGAACTCTTCAATATATCGTCTCTCAACTGAGAATAAATCAAAATTGTAATCAATATGTTATGAATCAATAACTACGAGAGCGTGCCTTAGCTTCGGGATCGTGTTGTCGCTTAAAGTCCTTCAATAACTTTTTCACGTGAAAAACATCTTTGGATAAAAAACACAATTAAGTGATAAACAAAATAAATGAAATCAGTGTTAACTGACTGTCGATATATTTCTGTTCCTCTTCTTTGCGTTTGAGGAGAGCTCGATGTAAGGCATCGAAAGAACCCCAGATTTGAAGAGCTCTGCGGGAAAAACAACACATAATAATTAGCACATCATTTGCGGACAACATAACAACTGTTGGATCTGTTACTTGGTTTCGATATCTTTACGCAGATATACAGTAATCGGCGGTTCGTTAGCGTAAGGACTTCTTCGCTGAAATTTGCGCAAATCATTCAAATCGATTGGTTTTAATAAATACTCGTTCATCGCACGAATCGGGGTAATAAAGTTGCGACCAGTGGTCATACCAGTGGACGACTGGCGCTCTTTCGGCAGTTTGGGCACAACTGCGGCACACAATCAGACAATGCAATCAGCAATTAATACTTTCAAACCATTCAATCAATTGTTTGTCAATACCTTTAATGTCTTCATTGATGGGCACTTTGCCCAACGCCTGGACCGTGTCTTTGGCTTCAGTTGTGTCGGTCTTCGGCTTATCATCACTACTACTCACTGTCTTATTGTCATCGGAGGTAGTATTGGAAGACGAATAACGGGCCGAAGCGGTGGTCACCACAACATTCAATCTTAAGGTGAGATTGGGATGAGATGTGAGGAGCGATGAAGAGATGGCATTGAATTGTCTGCGGATGTGATGCAAAGGATAGACAGATGTCTTGTTGTGATGAGCGGTCAGATTATGGCAGATATGGCTCAACAGCGGATGCCTTAGCGGCCGAAGAGATGGCGACATATTATGGGCGCCGATATGTGAGCCGTTGTCGACTGTGGGAGACGTCCTCTTCGGTGACAATCTTGAGATACAATTAAAACAATGAAATGAATGATAAAAACATTGGTTTGAATTGATTTTGATTTGAAATAATCATTAAATGAATGATAAAAACACCGAAAATGAATGCATTGAATGGGAGTGAAGGTCACCAATGGATCACTCATTCACAAGCACTACACCAACAGCTGATCTCCACATCCCATACAATAACATACAGCACACACTCGCTATAGTGAACGCACGACTACAGTGCAGTCACTGCACACTGTATGGCAAAACCACTGCAAATATCAATGCATTTCTCTGCGAAAAACTTTTTATTAGTTTATATTGAGATTTATTTTCATATTTACTTAAATATGCAATAAATCAATGAATGAGTTTACGATTTTTCGTTAACCTTGTTCAGTTTCATACATGTGTGGGGCCTAATTGATATATAATTTATACAGTACACTGTATGAAAATTAAATGAAAAATTTTAATTGAAATCCGCTAGGGGGACGCCCATTACTACACTGTAGTCACTACACACTGTATGGCAAAACCACTGCAAATATCAATGCATTTCTCTGCGAAAAACTTTTTATTAGTTTATATTGAGATTTATTTTCATATTTACTTAAATATGCAATAAATCAATGAATGAGTTTACGACTGATCGTAGGTTTTAATAGTTGTTTATATGCTGTCAGTATTTGCCATTGAATGGATCCCATATAAGTAGATCGTAAACTATACTCACGGGTTGTTTACAAGAATCATCAATTGTGGACAAGGATTAGCGGATTAACGGTAAGCCAATAATCGGTAATTTTGTATAAAATCTATATATTTAAAATAATAGAGTTTCATAGTTTTTGAGTTTCACTTCGACCTTGATTTTGCCCCTGTGTAGTTAGCTAAATGTAAAGCTCACTTTCATATTCATATCGAGTGTAGACACA